ACAACTATATTGTATCTGTGTTTTTTGCAATAGATACATCTGGACTGTATTAAACACTCCAAAAGAGAGATCAGAGAAAGCAGTTTCTCTGCCATTTCCATAAAAGCTACTTTTAATAGACGTTGTAGAAATACCAGGCATTAAAGAGCCATAAAGGATCATCAGCAGTTGAAGTGATCGACTGCAGCGTTTGAGTTTCAGAGAAGCCCTTGATATCTGCAAGGTCTCCAGTGACTATTTTAGCAGCACAGAATAGCACTGAAGCACCGAAGCTACAAAGCACCGCAGCTTTGTAGCTTTACGCGCAGAACTTGGACCCACACGGTTAACCAATACACAGGGCCTTGCCAGATTTTCCCGCAAGGAGGGAAAACGGACGCCGAACTCAGTTATCTCCTTCGCGCCACCCTATTTGTCTGCAAAGAACGTGCAGCCACGTCCCATTTCCTCGCACGCGGCGGAGGCCGGCGGGAGGCGGCGCGGCGCTCGGAGCGCGCTTGCCCAGGAGGCGCCGTCCCTTGGCCGCTGCCCCGGGCGCCGCTGCTGCTCCCGCGGCCGCTGGCCCCCGCGCGGCCTTTCCGGCCCCTCGCGCGCGCAGGCGAACGCAGCTGCGGCCGAGCTCCCCGGAGGAAACTCGCTGCCTTTCCCCGAATTCGGGCTCGCTCGTGGGAGGGAGCTCCGCTCGGTGCTCGGCCCGTGCCACGGGCTGGGGTCTCCAGCTCGCAGCAGCTCTTTTACGCCGTCACAGAACGTAATCGCCGCCTGCAGTGCGCCTGGCAGCTTTCGTGAGGTTTGCGATTGCCTGTAGATCAAAGCGCTGCTCCGGTGGCTTTTGCTTGCGTTGCATAAGAAGGAAGTGACCTCCAAAGTAAACAGAAGGACTAGGAACAAAATTAATTTCCATACGCCGTTTCTTCCAGAACGTGGCGCGTGGCAGATTAGCTGTGCAAAGAAGACATCCCCCAGAATGCTGATCCTCACTGGAACACTGTCCAATGAATATTTCAAAAGCACAAGCACAACCTGTTTTGCCCGTATCATCCTCCAACCCACAGGCCTGACCCTGCGAGTGGCAGGACCGCTCTCCATAAACAAACCTTGATCTTCCAGGCCCACGTTATCATTTGCCTCTCTGCAAGTTGCATGAGGATGTCACGAAATCCACACCAGCACATTTTATAATGATCCTTTCATTGACTATTCCCAGGAGCAAATGCACCCACAGAGCTCATGGCAAGGGAGAGGCCAAGTCCTAACAGTTTTTACTAGCAGAGTTTTAAGGAGAGCGGAGATGAAAAGGAATATTTTTTATCTGAGAACTGAACTAGTAGGCATGTTGTATTAGAGGCTGCAGCAGCAGGTGGTATACAGTCCTCCTCCCCGTTGGCTTCAGGGATTTCAGGGGTCCTTATCAAAACATATCTGCCTGCTGATGTGGATCTGCTTCGCGGGGTTAGTGAGAGACAGTTACATTTTGAGGATGAAGCTCGGAGCTAGAGGGCAAAACAAGTCAATGGCCATGGTTTCAGCTCAGCAGGACCCTCCCACGGGCCGGCATTTGGGAGGTGGATGGGACCGTGCTTTTCTCCTGCTCTTCTAACATGGTTCCCACACAAAATGTCTCTGCTGCTACTGTTCACGGAAATAAAGTTGAAACCCTGTGAGCAATAAACATGTTTAGACACGCTGCGCAGAAGTTGGCTTCCAGTGTGGGAGGGCCCTGAATACTTGGCCTCCCCAACGAAAAGAAACACACGCTCCTCGAGCCGAGTTAACCCTCTGCTGCCACGCACGGCCACGCTTGTAAATGCTCCCACCCAGCTCCTCATTTCCTCTTTGGGAAGCGTGAACATTTTGGGAGACCTCAGACTCCAAACATGGACGATTTGCAAAGGACAAGGGCCATAAAACCAGACGCCCAAGTTGGGAGACTGGTGGAGTGAGAAGTCGCCAGGAAGGCACCACTGGAGATGGCTCCAAAGAGCCCCGTCCTGCCTTGCACAACCGCTTTGGCAATGCTGAGCACGTGTGGCAAGTTAGCATCGTTTCCCGGTGTTCATTCGGAGCAGGGAAGGACTTCCTGGGCCAGAGAGAGAAAATGGGATGGGAGGTCACTTGAAGGTTAAGTCATTTAATATATATATATATATATATTAGCATTTGTCATTTTGCATTTACTGTAACAAACTCGCAGTGTGTGACAGACAATAAAAATGGCACAGCGACTTGCATGGGACTAATTACATGAAAAGCCAGTTACCAATGCAGGCGCTGATGCCCTACATATGAAATAAATAAACATCAGTTTCCAGCTAATATTTACATCTTAGAAGTTCAAGCATAATCCCATTTGGCATATTTTAAGGAAGTGAGCTCTTGACCCCAAATGTTTATGGGCTGTAACAGTAAGTCCAATAAAAGAAAGGAAGCGCATTTTAAAGCTGCTCTTAAAATCAGATTGGTTTTAGGCACAATTTTCAGAAAGACAGTATTTCACCTCATGTTTCGAGTAAAGAGGTGATTGTGACTGATATAGCCTATCCAGGTCAATGAGGTATTTCTTGCTAGGAAAATTTCTTTTAACAGGGGTTTTTGAATATCCGCTTTAAAAAAAAAAAACCCTAAGATAGATAACCTTGTACCACATGGGTTAGATTAGTTGCATTGTGTTATATAGGGTAATAATATAGGGAGCTTTCTGGGTGAAATACCACAAAATGAGACACCGGCTGAAAATCATGAGAAACAATAATTTCATCCCAAATTGGTTTGGAGTTAAATAGAGTCTTTAAATGTATATATTTAAACGACCTGCTGTCTGCAAAACATTGCAGATCAGCAGTTCACAGCACAACATTTACTGGATATTTTTCTGTAGATAAATAAGAACCTGAAGTAGGTTCAGGTGGGCTGCTATAGCCATGTTACCACTCTTGGCTCTGCTTGCCGCAGTAACATATCGGAGCCCTGGCTCCGGATACTTCATGTCCTGGAGTTCTAGAGCTTTGGCTAAACCACTTGAGAAACCCAAAGGCCACAAATCTATTTAAATTAAGGGACATTCTGTCACTGTGAAAGGCACACAAAGCTGGTTCCAAAATGTCACTATGTACTTCATAATAAAATAAGAACAGCTATAGTGTCCTGGCTTTTCCCTGGGTATGTGTGGCAGCGTTCACTGGTAAACGGGAGAAAGACTCCACCAAAGCTCTTGAATGCAGTTATACTGATTGAAAAAAGCACTCTAGAAGCAAACAAGACTTAAAAAACTGAGAGTTAAAATTGACTAGAGAGGACTGTTTTGGAAGATGCATTCACGAGCAGTTATGACCAAAAATCTTATCAACTTAAAGAAGCACCTATTGCATTTGGGACAATGGTCACTCTTTTATTTTTGGGGAAAAAAAAAAAAAAACCTTGTTTGCACAGGTAAGCAAACTGAGAGAGGTGACAAGCCCCAGCCTCTGCTTCCTGGCGTGGGGCTGTCATCAGGAGCACGTAGTAGGGTAAAGGTTTGAACATCCAAGTGTAGGAGGAGGAATATTTCTCACAGGACCCCCCAGCCTTGGCGAGGCAGAGGATAGGAGCGTTGCACAGGTCAGTCCTGCCCCATGACGTGTCGCATCCGTCTCTGCCAAGTGCCCGTGGATGTCGCCCACTCAGGACACACAAAGCACAACCGACGGAGCAAGAAAACTCGCAGGGAGCTTGGGAACAGGTGGAGGGACTCCCGGGACCACAGACAGGTCCTCTGCCAGGCAGGACTGCACAAAATGTTTGCCTCAAGGAGCCTGTCTATTTTTTGGGTTTTTTTTGGGGGGGGCATATGTATGTATGTATGTATGTATGTATTTTCGAGAGAAAAAATATATAAAGAAGATAAATGTGGTTCTCATTACTTGAAGCCAGGAACAACTGACCAGTGAATTTCCAAGAAGAGTTTCATTTTTACATGGCTCGGGACCGTACTGTTACAAGCCCGTTGACATGATCTGTACCATCTGCCAAATATGCGTGTATGTCTATGTATACACATTTTAAAAGGCACATCCCGAGCGTGATTTCGAAATGCGAAACACATGCACGTTGCTGCGCTATCAGCTCGCAGGGTCCTGGCGTATCTCCCTGACACTGGCAGATGTGCGCTTTGTGTCAGGGTGTGTTTCAAGTCGGTATTTACTGTGACTGCTTGTGACTTGAGTACAGCGCTGCACCGAGCAAACAAGAGAGGCAGCCCTTACTCCTCCCCTGCAAAGGAAGGGAGGGCATTAAAAGAGCGCATTTCTGGCCGCCGATCCTCGTGTTTTTTAAACTTTCACTTCCCACAGAAAGACGATTTTTTTTAATGGGTTTTTTTTTATACGACCTCATGAGAGCCCAGAGACAACAAAGCCCCGGGGGTGCCCAAGGCGGGATAAATAAAAATAACCCGCTGGCGCCATCGGTGCCAATAACGGTCCCCAACGGT